CCACGCCTGAGGCGCAGCGGCGTGTTGGCCAGCCCCTGCAACAGCGCTGGGCCCAGCAAGCCTTGCAGGAGGGTGGAAGGCTGGACAGGCTCTGCATAGATTTTTGCCCCCCACCTCTGGAACATGCAACCTGGAAAAAGAGGTGTGGCCAAATCAGTCTTTGCAGCCCCAGCTGCCTCTTCACGTTTGTACACGGCAGGGTTTTTCCCCTTCGGTGACAAATCTCGACGCCTCCTCCTTGTGCCTAACTCTGTGACTCCAATGCATCATACCCTCAACCGATCTCATAGTCTCATAAGTCCCATCTCAAGCAATGAGATGCTGCTTCGTCTACGCCTGTTCCGAGCCTGTTCCTTTCCAAACGCATTGCTCTTCAACCAACGATGTCTAAACCTCCGCCTGGCTCGTGAGTCGTGATCAGTGCTCCTGACGCTCTAGATCTTTCTAAAGGTTCCAGGCTTCCATAAGCCCAGACACACACCAAGCCGCCTGCAACGTGTCACGACTTTCGACTGAGCCCACCAAATGCTCCTGTAGACTGGTACTGAGAAATCCTCCTGGGGCCGGCCCAACTCTTGATGTCGCACTTTGACTCTTGGAGTCCGGAAGCGAGTTCCTTCCAAAGGGAACACCTTCCATCCAGCCAAATGCCTCCTTCCCAAATCACGGTTTATTTATGTGCCCCGTATTGTCGCAAGGGCGCACCAAGCGCAAAAGGGCCTTTTAAGTTCAAGGCCTTCAGTGCCGCATGCCTCATGGAGCCTCAATGCATCTATGTCTCGCGCTTAAGAGTGCCTAAAACAGCAGTATGTACAGCACTTGTCCCCCTCTGGAGCGTCCATGCTTCCAACCAAACTGACCCATTCTTGAGTTTGTATATATATATATATATATATATGATTTTATATATATATATATATATATATATATATATATATTTCGGCTACCCTGCACCTTCAAAGAAACAGGCAAACCAAACAACACCACCTCCTTGAGAAAAAAGACCGCAAACCAATCTTCAAAATTCACTTTGAGATAAAACAAGTCGAAGCGATATCTAAAAACATCTTTCCTTTTTTTCACAAATGGGCCCGTGGAACCGCACCCCCCCTCCCCCCCCCCATCTGCCCCCCGGCCGCGGCACTCCGCCAGGCCCAGCGCGCCCTGGAAGCTCCGCAGCCAGCAGCCCAGCGCCCTGCCTCCGAGGTGGGGCTGCAAGTCACATGGCTGTGGTGTCCTTTGAGGGGAAATAGATGGTGGTAGATGATGAAACCACCAGGTAAACCAGGAATCGCCATCGATTTGTTTTACCAAAACAACCAAAAAGGACACCTATGGTCACAGGGCTGTGGTTCGGGGAGGTGGTTGGGGTTGGGGTGGGTGGGGTTGACAGATGGGGAAGGAGGTTGACACATGGCTGCGGGTCAAAAATACGTACCCAAGATGGACCCTTGGTAAATGGAAACATGGACTAAAACCTGCGGTCCCCTGGTGGTTTGATTTTGACCCATACCTAAATGGAACCCGACCTTGGGGAAAGTGGGTCCTTTCAAAAGGGGAAATGGTCCAAAACCCCGAAGGTCAGGTTTCATGTTAATGGGTGGGAGGGTAACTCTTCTTAGCCCACAAGCTGTGGCTGGTACTTTTGCCAAAATCTGGCTGAAACTTCTGGAATCCGCGCCCACCGGAAGATTATCAAGGCGCGCGGCCAAAGGAAACAAACGCCGGGAATGGATGCTGGTGCTCTTTGAGAAGCTGATTTTTTGGAAGACAGGCCCAAGCGAGTCATACTCAAAACCGATCGGTATTAAAACGATCCACCCAGAACCATGTAACGAATTAACAATGCTGCCCCCATTTATGGTTGAGATTATCCTAGGTCCTCCAGTAGAGAGGCTAGAATAAGGGTACCATTTTTTTCTGTAGCCTATTTTAGTCGGGGAACCCTCCCCCAAAAAAGGGGTAAAAGGGCACCTAGCTGGGGGACCCAGGTATCCCTTACTAACCTTCATCTACCCGGGCTTTGGTGTGCTCATGGCCCCCTCGGCCCCGCCGTGGGAAGCGTCCAGCTGGGCAAAGCGGGGCTGCAGATTCAGCACGTCGCCCTCGCCGAACACCGAGAGAGGGGGAGGGGAGGGAGGGACTTTGCTGGGAAACGCACCGTTGGCATGGACCTCAAAGGAGCTATGGGGGGCTATCCCTAGATAAGCCAGGACAAGCCAAGGATAAGCCAAGGGAAAGACCATCATGAGGCGGCACTAAGGGTTCAGTAGGTGATAGCTCCCCTCCCATGAGCCCCTCTGCAGGTCCATGATGTTAGTCAGATCACGGAGATGTTCTTTGTTTAACCCACTTGCCACAATCAAATTTGGCCAAAACGTGCCAAACGTGATGAACCACGAGAACCACCAAACCCATTATCTTGCGATGCTCAGCAGGAAATGGTCCAGGGTTTGGGAATGGGCTTGGAATGAACCTTCGCCTGGGCTTCCCGGGGACGAGCTTTCAGCATCTCCACAAAGAAGCGCAGCTCTTCCACGCTGAGCTCCGCCGACCTGTGGCCATGTGGTAGACCGTAAACCCCCCGTGTGCGAGAGGCGTGAGGAAAGGGACATGTTCAACCCTTCGCAGTTCGCGACCAGGGCTCGCTGACGCCAACCCAAACTTGGTTGCACCCCTTTTGGCTAGCTACGGCCGGGACAGTATCTGCAACAAACAAATTTGCCAAATAGTGAGTAGCGTTCACACAGGTTCTGCTTCTCAAGTGAAGTACCTCTCACTGAGACCCACATTGGACCAAGGGAAGTCTGTGTCAAAATGAGAGCCCTCACACCATCTGGATTCTCACGGCGCAATCAATTGGAGGACTCTGTGCCCCAAAACAACGCACGAAATGCGTCTGTGCAAGCGATGCCGTCGGAAGCAAGCTGAAGCGTGTTGGCATTGCTCGACTGCAAAGCGGATGACGCTTCAGCTTCGCCCATAAAACAGCCCAAGAGCATGGGGCCAACTCAGCTTCGCCCTGTCTGCTCAGGAAGCCTCGTAAGATCACAAAAAGCACTTGTGATGTCGCAACTCCCTGCTGTCTCAGATCCCTCTTTGATTGAATCAGACGGCGTGAACTACTGGAAATGAAACGTGTTAATACAAGCAAAAAAGTGACCTTCCTGAACCTACCCAGCTATTCCTTCGATAGTTGGCTAGCTAGATGGCTACCAATTCAACCAGCCAGAGCAGGAGCTTTGGATGTTTGACCGCGCGAAAGTCCGCAGAGCATTCATTGTATTTGATGCGTGCGAGTTTTGACAAGCGCAAGAAGCTATGTATGAGCTTTTCAAGGTCGTCACCAGAAGGAAAACGCCGAGAAAAACAACAACACGAGCTAGTGGAGATCGATCTCCGGACATCCACCGCTGATGTGGTTTGCGTGAACTTTGCAACAGTGCCAGTATAGCTTGGTTGTCTTGACTTGCCTGAGTGGTTGTCTCGGCTTCAGACGCAAGCTTGGCGGAGGTGTGAACAAAGCCCAAATGTTGCCAACATCTGAGGCAAAGCGTCCGGGGGAGCCATATCATGGGTCGCGTCGAGAAAGGAAAAGGGATGAAGTTGCCGGGGGAGCAGAAATAGAAGGTGATCACCTTTTAGAGCCATGACTAGAAACGGGAACCCAAAAGGTCAAAGACTTAGCTTTGGGCAACTGAGTGTGTGTTCCGTAGAGAAGGTGCGGCTCAACTAGTCCCAGTACAGTGGGCCCTATTGGCTCAACCATCTCTACCAACCCTGCCATAACCTGCAGATGAACACTAGCCCCATGTTTTTTTTCTTTCTGTTTTCTCCCACTCTCAAAGTCACCCCCTAAGTGGTAGCTTGAAGGGAAACCACCCCAATTTTTCTGACTTTACTCCCCAAAGTCAGAAAATCATGACCCCAGCTCAAATTTTCTCCATGTCTCAAGGCTTTGGGGAAAAGGCGCGAGCCCCGGAGCCGGGGCTCGCGCCGGACCTCGCGGCCCAGAAGGTCATCACAGGGCAGCCTGCCAAGCACATGGGTAGCTATGGACCATGTGCATGTGTATATATATATATATATATAATACACATATCCACATACATATGTATATATATATATGTATATATATATATATATGTATATGTACATATATATATATATATGCATGTGTGGGTCGCGTATGAAAGTATGTGTTCAAATATCTCTGAGTTGCATCTGCATACACATGTGCGGATGATCCCAGTGCAAAAATGCGATCATTATGTCCGGTATTAACGTGTGTAGATATAGCGAGAGAGAGAGAGAGAGTGAGAGACAGAAATATAGCCAAGACTTTCTCTACCAATTCCTTACCTCTGTTTTAATGAAAGCCATACCCTTTTTCCCCTGGCCCCCCCTCAAGCCTCCGCAGCCGTCGCAGCACGCGGCGCAAGGGTGTCCGAAGCGCCGGCTCTAGATGCACCTGGCACGCAGGAAAATCAATGGCAGCCCAACGGGCGAAGATTGGCCTTTTCAAACGCTTTGGCCTCGTAAGCGTTCGCCTGATGGAGTCGCCATGGGACTTTTTAGGGACCGTGACGAGCGGAAAAGTCAGACCGACTTCTCAAAATCTGGCGCGCCTTCTCAATCACACTCCAACCAAAGCCAAACGTGGAGAACTGCGTGCTTGCGTGGGTGTAGAATGGCTGGTTTCCTTTTGGGCATTTGGCCTGCTGTCAAGATGTCACAGGCGACAAAACCGTTCAAAACGGCAATGCCCGAGTAAGGGATTTAAACAGCAGAAGTTAGTGTTTGTGGATTTGAGTATTGGTTTATTCATGGTTTTGCGCTGGTTTTGAAAGGCCCCCAAGTACGACTGGAGGCGGGGACAGAAAGGAGAATCGTCTTAGTATTGGTTGCACAAGTTCAATTCTAAACTTCGTATTCTCGGACCTGGCTCTGTTCTTCGAATTTGGGGTGGGATGGGTTGGGGCGGCATGGGGCGGGATGGGAAGGGTTCGGGTGAGCCATGTGTTTCCTTGCTTTCGCAAAAACATTGTTTTGTGTGGTTTGATGGTGAGATCGATTTTGATCATAGGACTGGTGGCCAGACCGCCACATGGAGAGCTACGCATGGTTTTTGCCGCCCGGCTGAAGCGGTTTCCTGGCCATTCTCAGGTTTGAGCTCCAGGCCGAGATGCAAAGCAATCCGACCCGAACCGAGGTGATCCGATATCCAGTTTAGAAAGCAAAAACGCCCGACTAGGTCTACTCCATACCATCTCCTAAATAAAAAAAAAAAAAAAAACGCAGGGCTCCTTCACACGGTGCTGTGAATTCGGGCTCCCCGCACAAACGAGGCCACAGTGAGAGGGCTCCCAATTCGCCACGTCACAATCAAAACCCGGTATAAAAATGGGTTACCCAGAACAATATAAACAATTAAGAAGGCTGTGGGGATCCACCCCGAAAACGCCTCTCGGAGGCCCAGGCTGCGAGCCGCACATTGCAGGCACCGCCTTGGAACATCGGAAGGCGCCCAAGGGCCCTTAGGGCTCCAAATTTTACGCGCGTGTGTAGAGGTACATATTTGTGTGTGTGTGTGTGCATATGTATAATACATACATACAAATATATATATATATATATATATGTATGTGTATATATATATATACACATGATATAGACAAAACATAAGCGTAGTGTGTACATATATATATATATACATATATACACAAATCTGCTGACCCTTGAGGAATGGAAAATTAACACATCTCCGCGAGCAGCGACAACTAGAAACACCAAAAATCAAAAGAGTCTGTTGCCAGTTTGGCTCGCGACATGAGCCAGAACATAAACAAATTCTGGGTAATGCATCAATGACTCATGCCAACCCAGGCCTTCCAAACTCCAGGCAATGGTGAATCAATGCAGAAGAAGATGCGGCCAGGCAAGTGTCTCAGGTGTTCGAAACCCCTTTCTCGTGAACACCTTCCAAACAAGGAGCCAAGCTCAGCGCTTTTGGCTGTTTGAGACGCGCCAGTCCAGAAAAAACTTCCTGCAGGCCAAGAGGAAGCAGTTCAGCCGCACAAAGGCAGTGCTGATTCCAATGCAAGTTATCGTCAGTTCGATGAGCATTCCGTGTGCCTGTGGCAATGGACATCCCACGGCCGGTCAAGATGAAATCTTTCAACCACCTGCCATCTCCTTTCGATTGAGATCAAAAGGTTGGCTGAGCAATGCTTTGGATATCTTGGGGTCAAACTGTCGGCCGGACAACGGCTTGGGCCGGACAATGGGTTGGTGACTGCCAACTTTTCAGGCAGTTGCGGAGAGATGTCAGAGCAGTTCTGAACGCAACTCTAATCAACATGTTGGAGGGGCATAAGTCACTTGGTCGGGCTATTCTCATTCAAAAGCGGGCCAAACTTCTTTGCGAGGCCCCATTTAAAGCGCTCTTTGATTCTTTCTTTGGGTGCAAAGACTCAAGGACTCAAGCGTTGAAAAGCCGAACTGCGTGTACGAAGAATTGATCAACACTTACCTCTCCGAGGAATGCCTTCTGGTGTTTCCACATCTCCAGAAAGCATTCCCCGTAACTTGGTAGAATTGCGCAGAGAGAAATATAATCTTCCACTAGCATTGTAACATAGAACCCTAAAAGAGGCCATTGCTCTAAAGATGTGTTTTTGTTCCATATGAATCTGCGGGACAAACCCCATCCTTTTGGCAGGTGCCAAAACACACCCGAAGCAGCAGGGCGCAGGCTGGACATAGCTCACTTGGACAAAGTCTGGGTTGCAGCTAGTTGACATGCCCAGAGTGTCCGCCAGGGAGTTCCAAAAAGGAACCTGGCAGCTCTCATCAGAATGCCATCCACGTTCGCTCATGTAAAATAGGTTCAATCATCGGTCGGACACCAACAAGTGCTGCAAGTTCACAATACTACAGGCGTGCGACGTTGAACATATCAAACAATATGTGGAATATCTAAGATATATCCGCCGACAACAGGCGGCGTGTTGGACATAAGAAATGCTCCTTACCTCTTTACCTGTTTCCCCTCCCCTTACCCCTTTGCACGGGCGGGGCGGCGGGGGGCTGGCCAACATCGCCAGCATCACCCGCATCATCCGCACCAGCGCCTGCCAAGGATGCGGATGATGCAAGTGATGCTGGGGATGTTGCCCATGCTGGTGAAGGAACATCTGGAAATGAAGGAAAATGCATGGAAATAAATAACATGAAGTGAAATGAAAGAAAAGGAGCAAAAACAGATATAAAGGGACATGAACCGAAGTGAAGGAAAGTGAAGGGAAACGAAGATCTTCGGGGGAAAGGGGGGAAAAAGATTTTAGGGAGGAAAATGGAGAAGCTCTCAGGGGGGGAAAGGCCTTAGGGGGGAAAGGGGGGGAACAGGGAAAGGGGGGAAAAGATCTTAGGGAGGAAAAGGGAGAAGATCTAGAAAGGCCTTAGGGGGAAGGGGGGAAAGGATCTCAACAGGGAAAGGGGGCAAAGGATCTTAAAAAGGGAGAAGATCTCAGCGGGGGGAAGGGGGGGAAAAAGGGAGGAAAAGGGGGAAGATCTCAGGGGCCAACGTCCTCTCTGTTCGGGCCCGTCGGGCCCGTCAAGCCCGTCGGGCCCTTGAGCCCGTCAGGGCAGACAAGAGAGGTGGCTATTTGGTGTCATGTCAACCCGGCGCCCCCCCCCCCAAACGCAACACAACAGAGAGACCAAATTTGTCGGTGGCTTTGGAAGCAGCTGATCCTGACACCAGGCTGCTGTTGGCTGACAACACACGACAAGCACAGCAAGGTTCATTCAAGCCTAGTAGGACTTGTCTCAAACTGTGCACGTGGATTCTCACCAGCACCCGCGAACGCTCCCAATCCAGAAGCCAACTGCCAAAACCCGGCGTTCAAACTGTCTGCGCCCGATGAACAATCCCATCGCAGACTTTAACGAGAGAGAACCCATCACATCAGAGATGCTTTTGGGAAAAAAAGGCGCTCGAAGAGACGCTTTGAACGGGAGCTTTGGATACGCGTCTATTTGTTTGTCTGTGTCCATCTACGCATCTGCGCTTTTACCAACTTAGTTGTGTAATCGAACCAATTTTGTGCCCTAATCTAATCTATACAATCTGGTCCGTGTATCTGTTCTGTTGTCTCTCTATGTACGAATCTGTCTATCTATCTAGCCATCTATCTCCATCTACCTACCCATTTGTCTTTCTGTCTACTTCTACATTACCGACTCATCTGTCTCTCACTTCTATTGTAACCACTGTCTATCTGTCTATCCATCCATCCATCCATCCATCCATCCATCCATCCATCCATCCATCCATCCATCCATCCATCCATCTACCTTTCTCCTATCTATCTAGATCTCTATCTCATTGTTTATCACTCATCCAATTCATCTGTCAATCTATCTGTTTATTGTTCTACCTACCTATTTTTCTATTGATCAATCTTGTCGGGAAAACCCGTCCTGTCAAGCCTGTCGAGCCCGTTAACACGTAAGGTTGAGCCCGTTGCACTCGCGAGGCCCGTCAAAACCGAAGCCCGTCAAGCCCGTGAAGCCCGTCAAGCCCGTCAGGCCCGTTGGGCCTGTCGTGCCCGTCGGGCCCGTGAACGGTGAGCGGCTGCTTCTCGGGGGGGGGGGGGGGGGAAGGCCTTAGGGGGGAAAGGGGGAAAGGATCTCAACAGGGAAAGGGGGGGCAAAGATCTTAGAGGGGAAGGGGGGCAAGGGGACAATTCCAAAGGGACGCAAATAAGAAAGCAGGCCTAGCTCGTGCGAAGTTGCAAAGAAGCGATTTTGTCCGGGCACTCGCAGAGGGGAAACACTGAATCTAGCGGTTACACTTCTCATTCAAGTGTCCGCTTTTGCTTCACATGTAGTTATGCTATGGCAGGGCCTGCAATCCGATTCGCCTTCTCTCAAACCGTGCGGGTGCAGCTTTTCTGCCCCGGTTTGAGCTTGGGCTCTTCTCTTTTTCCACAAACCCGAAAGGCGAGGGGGGTCTCTTATCGACGACCCACGTCAGACACTCTCTGAGCCCTGCACCAGTCCAAGGGATCCGGCAAAAGTCCGAAAAGCAGAGCCCGGCAGTCAGCGAACCTGCGAGCTCACACGGGCGCCAGCGCAAAAGACCATCGCCGTGGAAAGGAACCGTCTTTCTTCGTTTTTATTTCTTGTTTCGGGGGGGAGGATGAACCCGAAGCTTTTTATTGGTTTCACCGGGAAGCAAAGCACCAATACAGGGGTCTCACGCAAATCGGGTATCCGCTCTCACATCAAGGAGATCAAAAAGTCACGACCAAGTGGGCCATGGAATCTTTAACCCAAGCCTTTCCCAAGTAATGCCACGCTTGCCAACCCCCCCTCCCCGCCACTTGTGGCAACCCAGCTGATGCAAACAAATGTAGCATGGGATTTCAGAGGGGTGCTAACAAGAAGACTCGGGGAAAAGAAGTTTGCTCCGAGGAATACCGTACCGCCCTGTGTGCCTATCCCAGCACGACAGCTTCAAAGCTTGGCGCTCAACTGAGGGACCTGCAACCCCTCCCTCCTCACTCGTCCAAATCAACACTGGGTTGGTCTGGCTGTGTTCCTAGGCAGATCAGCGGGGCGATCCCAGGGATCCCCCCCCCAGCTTTCTTTCCGAGCAGCAGCAGCGCGGAAAGAGGCGTCCGGGCGCATGGCGCAGCGGCCGCGTGGCGCATCGGAGGCTCGATCCGCACTTGCGAGGCCCGTCGCGCCTTCGTGGTTTGTGTTGCGGATCGTTTTCACCTCGGCTCCGCAAAAAACCGAAGGAGAACCACCATGTAGTCATTTGGTGTTGGAGGGGGAGGCGTTTCAACCTGAATAAGAAGCCTCAAACTGAAGGTTGCGCCACTTTCCATCTCGAATCCAGAGCACGTGGCTTGGAAGGGTGCGAGAAACGTCACTCTTGACCAATGGTGCTTCGCCCGTGGCACTCTTGCCTGCTCACAACCCCAAATCTGAAGACGCGGTGAAGCCCCAGTAACGCGACGTCAACAAATGTCATCCCTCCAGACAGCTCTCACCCGACACATCGGCGATGACGTTTCATCAACAAGATCAAGCTAATCATGCAAAGGACATCAGAGAAAGGCGCAGAACCTGGAAGACTGGGGTTAAGCCTGACTACCATGGGCAAAGGGGCGAATCTTTAGACAGGCATCGAGCTCCACGCCACTTCTCCACCAAGCTCAAGCGAACGGTTGGCTCAAACGCATGGACAGTCAGCGGGAGAAAGTCAAAACAGAATGGCTTTGTCCAGAATTCAAGGGCACGGCGCGCACCAAGATCATGAAACAGACGGTCAGAAGCCAAAGCGACGACTTTAAAATACGACAATTGAGTTTGGCTGAGCGTACGAGTGACCCCAACCTCTTTGGGCACAGGCTTCAGCTCGGTGAAGTTGTAGTCCTTAGGCAAGCCAAGGAACTCATGGCTCCAGAAAATGGACAAGGATGCATGAAGAAGGGGGTTATAGGCAAGAGGGTGGTCTCCAATCAAACAAGCACCAGGGGTTCAAATCGCAACACCACCCTCTGATTTCAGATCCAATGCTCCCTGCACCAAGTCTTTGATCTTGGCGCTTGGTTCCACATGATTCCCACACTTTTCTGATCCTTCTTGCGTGCCTTCCGCAGATGCCCGAAAGCTGCCGAATCATTCTGCACTTTGCACTGGTCAGCGGATTCAATGCTGAGCAGGATGCCGGCAGGGGGAAAAACTGCAGCATCGGCCTGCGCGCACTCGATATGGCAAGCAACGCAACGAAATGCCAATGTCCACACCTGAACATTGCGAAGGATTCAGTGAGTAATTATGCCCGCATGTTAGGGCCCCCTTACCAACCAGACAACACGCTCTGGATTTTCTTATCCGCTTGCAAGGTCAGAGGGTCTGTGCTGCCGAGGGGGTAACGTCACCCTTACATATCGTCATTCACAAAATTGGGCGGCCCTCTGGTTTTTGTTGAAACTCGGGTGCCTCCTTGTCCTTCCCCCCATGTCCTTCAACAATAAACTCGTCATCTCCCCCCCCCCCCCCGGCCTAAACAAGAAATCCGCATCACTGAGCAGGTCATCATTATGACCTTGGCTCAGAGACTCGGAACCCCCTCCTCCAACAGGAGCGAGAAGGGCGACGTTTTTTTCAGACTGCAAGTGTTGGAAGGAAGCCAAGAGGAAACCAACCAATGTCGGTTGGGCTCTTCAAATCCCGCTTGCCACCGGGTGGTACGCGAAATGCTCAGTGCTGTGCAACTTCAGAGTTTGGTGGTGAAGGGAAGTCGTTTTGAACCCTCCTGCATATGCTTGACGCAACGCCGATGTTGATGTTGGAGGGAAAAGTCAAACCCATGGGCCAAAATTGGCTAGCATGGCCAAGTGCTTTCCAACCAGCATTCACGCAAGCAACAGTTTGAATAGCTTGCACCAAGCAAACAGGGGAAAAGCAGGAGTAGCAGTAGTAATGGTAGTAGTAGTAGTAGGAGTAGTAGTAGTAGCAGCAGCAGCAGTAGTAGTAGCAGCAGTCGTAGAGTAGCAGGAGTAGGAGTAGTAGTAATAGTAGTAGTAGCAGTCGTAGTAGTAGTAGTAGCAGTAGTAGTAGTAGTAGTAGTAGTAGTTTTTGGTGCTAGTGCTAATGGTAGTGGTGGTAATAGCAGCACTACCGCACTAACTGCCTCTACTTCCACAGCAACTTACGAGCTACACCCTCCTCCAGCTCCACAACTTTGTTAACTTACTTCCTGACAAAGCAGCTAGCTCACTAACTTACTAACTTGCTGACTCGCTGACTCTGACTTGCTAACTTACTAGCTTAGTCTCCGTCTCTGAGCCGGATACTGACTTCCTAACCGCCCTTTGCTCCAGAGTACAAAAAGCGATGCTAACTTGCTAGCTGCCTTCTCCTTTACATGGGCTAGAATAAGTTTGCTGATCCTGAATTTACTTTTTGTTCGATCCTAAATTGTTTTGTTTGATGCGTATGCCCTTCTCGTGCGCCAGGCATGCGCGCAGGCGCGCGACGTAGCGCGTGACCGGTATCAAAAACTCGCGTTTGGTGGGCCGGTAAAAGAGTCCGCGAGCACAAAGGTGTTTGAACCACGTTGTGCAGTTGTCCATTCAAGGTTCTGTTCTTTCCCCCGAGCATGAGGCATCCCTTTGGGGCAAACGAAACGAAGCCTGATGATTTGCCATCAGCTCGAGACACGAGTCAGCCACACCACAACTCCAGACTTGAACTTCCAGAGGGCGCCCTGCTTAGCCAAACCCAAACGCGGGCCAAACTCAACAAGTTCAAGGCGAGTAAATCTCGAAGTCCCAAAGAATGGGGAAGAAGAAAAAAAACTGAAGAAAAAAAAATCGGGGGAAAAAAAAGCACCTTGCCCCAACTCACGAGCTTCCACAGAGTTGACTCATGCACAGCCACAGCCGACCGAGCCAACCGAGTGCGCGGCCCATCTTGGGGCAAACAAAGAGCTTCCGCTGGCCTTGGCACGAACCGAAACGCGAGAAGAAAAGAATGGGAGAACGAATGGGAGACGGAATAGGACAAGCAAACGTGCCTAGAGCAATAGTCGGTTGGGCTATAGGAGTCACCAGGCTGGACAATGCTCCAGCAAGTGTGAGCAAGTGCGGCATTGCAAACCCTAATCTTTGAAAGACGGAAACCCCATGCAACATTTCATCTCATCCGCCATGCTTCTTCGCAAGTCACATCCGGAAATATGTTTAGCTCGTGGCACTGCTCATATACCTTTTGGCGATGAAACAAACTATGACTTGTCGTGAGATGACTAGTGTCCAATGGTGCTTATGTCCCAAGCGCTCGGCGCCAGCATGCTTGCTTTGTCGATAAAATCTACCCTCAAGTAAACGGTTTGCGTGAAGATTTGACCCAGGACTGCCCTCCAAGTGCGAACGTGTCTTGTGATGCCGCACCATGCGGTGGAACGCAATGCAGTAGTGCGAATGCAAATGTACATGTACACGTAAGCATAAATATGATGAACATGTGAATGAAACGAAACGCAATGTCCTGTAATGCGTTATCATGCAAACGTAAAGTAATGCAGCGTAACGTACTGTAGCGTGATGTCGTGTATTGAAGCGTGTGTGCATATGTGTGCGTGCGTGTGGGTGTCGTTTCAGAAGTCAATGCAAGTCAAGAAGGCTTCCCCCTCAGCCGTCAGACCTTAGCGCCGCGCTCGGGCACAACTCCGTGAGCTGCTTGCCTGCGGTTCGGGGCCTATTGCCCCGGACGCCAGTGAAAGGTTTCCAATGGATGCTGAAGGGGTTGGACCATGTCCTAGGGCTGTAGATCACGCGTGCGTTTTGCAAATTGCATGATAAGCCTAAAACCTGAATACGCCACGGTGAGCGCGCGTTATCCCAAAATGAGCTTGCCCACGTCTTTGGAGCACTGCCGAACAACTAGTGATGACAGCCACCTGACACACACAAGAAGCTCCGAAAAATATCTCGCTGTCGCATAGGGCTCTCTAAGATCAAGAGCGTTAACGGTTGTGCCCGACCAGATACTTTGCATCTGTCTCCAGGCATATCCCTGATTGTAAGGAAAAAGGAAGAAACCTGAGCCACTTGTTGGGCTTGGGGGCGGGCTCGTCCAAGGCTTCCCACGAACGGCAAGTTGATCATTTCCATAGCGACCATCTCCGCAATATGCAGATTTGCTGCGTGGAAGCGCCATACAAGAACACACCATGCGCGACAGCCGGATCTAGAAAATGTCCCGCAAACTCACGCAGGGCTCCCAAGAAAACTGGAGGCTACGTGCCAAATGGAGCGCCTTGAGCAGGGTCAATGAGCCTGTCTTGGCTGCCGTGGATCACCAGTGTGGGCACCTGGCAAGGAAACGGACAGGCAAGGTGAATGCCCCTCGACATTCAAAAGATTCCGACTCCTTCCTGTCTGTTCGGCCCATGGCCACTGGCCACTTGCGAGTCGCAGAGCGGCTTTTTGCGGCGCGGCTCGCTTCATCCTCGCTTGGCTCGCCCTCAGCCTCCAGAGCTCCTGCGAACCGGCTGGGTGTACCAGCTGGGAATGGGATTAGATCAGTGACTGGATGGCATTCGCAAAGCTCTGGTTGCTGGAAGCTGTGGGGCATGGCGGCAATTTTCTTGGTCCGTGAATTTCTGGACCTGATTGCAAACAAGGTCCAAAGGAGCCACACCTACCTATAGCAGAACGCGGTCTGTCATTCCCTGCCCCGTATATTGCCGCCAAATATTCACAACGTTCCAACACCACCCGTCATATGCCGCGCACTGAAAGGACCAAATTTTGCGCGAAGCCGAAGCCGAGCAGATCCTGTGAGCTCGCCTTTCCCAAAGAGCTTCTCATGCCAGTCCTGGCAACCAACTCTCGCCATTCAATCCGCTCTCTGTCTCCAGCGCGCCACAGGGATCACCGAAAAATGTGGGATGAGGGACCATGCCGGGAGGTGGAGCCCCTTTTGCTGAGCCCAACCAACAGCAACCAGCCACTTCACAGGCAGCCTGGACTTTCAACACATTGCAAAATGCCGGCTTTGCCTGGGACCAGCGTACCCGAAACAATTTGAGATCTCCTACCCTTGGGGGTTCAAGCCATGCAACCAACCATGCACAGCAAGAATGGGCCAAGCTGCAAACGCCATGAAGCCATCCTTGCCCAATCCACATTGAAATTGGTAACATACTTGCCGCTCCGGTGCCTGCGCCGGATGGCGGAATGAGCCAAGGCGCGTCAAAAAGCCCTTTGACCCTCAAAAGGAGCGGTTTCCAACTTGCACTTAGTCTTGAAGGCTGCTTCATTGCCACATTGTCGGATTTCCCCGTTTGAGGAAATATGGACATCGTACAACACAAAAATCCGTGTTTTTAGTCGGCCATCAACCCCTGGAACCCCTTCCGGCTCGTCCACCGAGTCCCCCCATCGATCCGGCCTCCGGCTCGTCTGACACGCAGAACCTGAACGGGCGAAAGGATCCCGTTTGCCAAGTGATTGCTTCCAGGGCCCTGTTTCTGACTTTGAGAAACCACAGGAAGAAGAGGCCCTGAAATTTGGGGCCTGACTGGTCGGTGACTTGGGTTTACCCAATCCCGCAGGTCAAGCACACTTACACACCACGCAAAGAAGAGAAAAAAAACTGGACTGCCAAGATGAGTACCAACAATAAAGGATTTTCTGGGTCGTGTTCTCCTAATTCAAGAAAGTCTGGCAACATTTGGCTGCATGTAGGGCGGCCAACTTTTGGCCACATGCAGAACGCAGGTATGCCTAATATGATTTGTGCGTGCATACGCCTACCTACCTGCCTGCCTCCTGCCTGCCTACCTACCATTTTCCCCCTGCCTGCCTGCCTGCCTACCTACTTGCCTACTCTCCTGCCGGACTGTGATTCCAACAGCAAGTCCAACCTTAAGTGCGTCTCTATTGAATTCTGTTAAATGAGAACCTGGGACGCAGCTAACCATATCATCCCCAGAATCTTCGGATCCACAAAATCATTAGCAGCACCAATTTTAGCAGCACCTCCAAACATCAACCTACAATCAAGAGGCAGCAGGAACAGCCGACTTGTTCGATGGGATAGCTTTGTTGCCCTCACTTCTTTGTGCGCAACAACAGTTACCTCTTTTCCGTTGGCTGCCTGAGCCACTGATTATCAAGGTCAAAGCACCAAACAGAACTATCACCTGAAACCGCAAATTTTGGGCCCCAAGCCTGCCGTAGGCCCAGACCACCTTGCTGCGATCCACGGGGACCTCAAGACAGACACCAAAAACAGAGGTTACAACTCTGAACCATAGCAGAGTCATTGAAAGCGCTGAAGATCTGCTCTACGTCAGGAACGAAAGGGCAACAAAGATGATCCTGAAAGCCAAGAATGTAGAGCTGCAAGGCGCTTGTTTGAGATCAAGGTTGCGAAGGCATTCTTAAGAAGCCGCCTAATGGGGCACAGCTGAAGTGGCACACTCGCAATGCATTTCACCACAATTCACCTCGTGCTACCGCCCCCACCCCCCCCAAAGAAAATGAGAGTGAACACCTAAAGATGATCCCTAAGAAAAACCAAAGGGTCTTCCCGGTTTCCTTCAGGCTGAGCTCTAGCCTTCAAAAAGACTAAAGCATTCCTGCCACCCACACCTCTTTCCCAACAGGCATCCTTACATTATACACCTGATCATTGCCTTGTAACAGGTTGTTTCCCTGTACTTTGGTGGAAAAAGCCATGTTTCAAATGGGCAAAATGTATCTTTTAGGGAGCCCTGGCCAACCCTAAGTACTTCATAGCCCCTCTGAGTCAAAGCTTCTCGGCAAGTCACCAGCGGCGAGCAACGGATCAGCCGCCAAATCAGCAGCACGCCGCCCTGCCCTGCACCGTAACGCTGCACCGCCTCTATGCCATACCTGCGATAGGACACGATACCCTCCCTCTCATGGAATCTCTAGGCTGTCTGTGCAAACTGCCCATCTGGGTCGACTGGCTTTGCCGATACGGTCTGCCCAGTTCCCAATTCATGATACTTTGAATCTGCGGTTTTTGTTTGGCACATATTCAGAGGAGGTCTGCATTGTTCAATATCAAAAAGGCAAGGCCTGCAAAACCCACCCACATAACATCGAACCAAAGAAGCTTGCAAGGAAAACGCGCGCCTCCCACATCAGCTACATACGGGGCACCTGTGTCATGCCTGAAGAACGCATGTGGGCGGTTGCCTTTGGCATTGTCAAGCGCAGCTTGCTGTACCCCTGCAAGTTTGGCAGAGCCTGTGATTCTGATGTTACTCCTCCCATTCCGGGCTTCGGAAGGTTTTGTAAGACATCTCAATTCGCATCATCGTGATGCTGTCCGGCTGGATGCAGCTGACACAAGATGGTGGTGCAAACGCGGCGATATCAATTGCACGTTTCGCGAGTGCTTCGAAGAGAATATGCAAACAGGTGCCGTGCCCTTCTTGAAGATATGTAATGCATTCTGCAATGTATGAGGTGTCCTTTCCCATGCGGGTGCCGGATGTTGAACAACCCGTTAAGCGTTGTAGCCCCCCATCGCACGTTCGGGAAGCTTCATTGCCAAAACCCGAAGAAACGCGAAGCTTTGGGTGCCATCTGGATGTAAATTTGCTCGAGAGCACACAAATATGTGCGAAGAAGTACATCCGTGTTTGGAACCACATTCCATTCAAAGTTCAGGCAAGAGGATACCGCCTTGCTTCACTGAGACGCCACCCTGACTTGAAGCAATGGCTTCTTGGGGGGGGGGGGGCCTTTTTGGGAGACGCAAACTGAGGGCCAAAGAACTCTTCCCGCCTGGAACAGCTCGGCGCAAAGCGGCAGTTGGGCGGCAGCAAGGGCGAGATGGCCTAGTGCCACAGGCTGCAACCAACTGACTCGCCCACCAGCTTCCGCCTGTGCACTTTCATGGAAGGGCACCAAACCCCTTTCCCAGGTCCATTTCAAAGTGGGATTCTTTGCGGGTCCCAAAAGTTCTCGAAAGGTGGGAGAGCCCAGCTGCAAGCTCCTCAGACGCTGCTCAAGCTGAAAGAAGACCAAGCGCTTTTGGTCCCACGCCCCGTCCGGCTCTTCCAAAGAGCTCGAAAGGTTCGGTGAAGGAATCAAAAAGAATATCATGGGAGGTCGGGAACTGAGGTGTTTTCAATGGGCTGTCTTGAGCTCCTCCAGAAATTGCCGAACCGGAGACCAAGTAAATCCACCTCATCAAATTCCACTAATCTTCCTTGCGATAAGTTGTCTCTGTCTGAAAGCATCTCACTGCACCGTCGTGAATGCAGGCTGACAAAACCAGCCGGACCTTCCTCACCCATGCGACCTGCTCTCCTGTAACCCGTCTATTCAAAGGCTGAGCTGGAGTTCTCCGCACTTTTCTTTCTCAAAGCTCCAGGGGCAGCTTCCAATCCTATTCTTCTCAGGGATCCTTCTTTCCGGAAAACCACCCAAAACCCTGGGGAAACAGCTGGATATTGACAAGAACGATGGTTGAAAAGAATGGAAAAGGAATCAACCCCTAGAAAAGCACACCCTCCAACCAAATATAGGCTGTCCTGTTTTTGCGGGGTTTCGCTTGCGGTCACGCTACTGGGCAAGGGAAACGGGACATGGGCTGCATTGTTCCTGAGGAAATTCCGGCCAGCTAGGGGTCAGGGCAAAAGTTATGTGAAAACTGTGCGTGGTTGTCCAGTGCTCGATGCAACTGTTGGGTTGCTGCTACCTGTGTTGCTGCTCGCTCATTGTGTGTGTGTGTGTGTGAGTTGCTTGTACTTTGGTGTCATTGTGTTGGTAATTGTTTCTGTTTTGGGGGGGGGGTGTTGTTGTGTTTTGCTTGCCTTCGCATGTGCTTTGTTTGTGCTTGCTTCCTGTGTTGTTGCGCTTTGTTGTGTCCATGTGTGCTTTTGGTTGTGGAGCGTTTGTACATTGCGGGTTTGCTTCATTTGTGCCAGTTATGTTTCTTGTTGCCTTTTTGTTTGTGTTCTTTGCTGCTACGTTGTTTGCTGGGAAGCTTTTGTTGTACTTTTCCGTGTGCTCACTGTTGTGCTCTTTCTGCGTAGAGTTGTGTGTGTGTGTGCCTGCGTGATCTCTGTTGTGATTTGTTTCATGCTAGCTGGTGTGCTTTCGATTGAGCTGTCTCTGTGCTTCTTGGAACGAAACAGGAACAAAACGAAGAGCACAACATGCACGCGGGAAAGTGACTAAAAGCGCACGCAAAAGGCACAACCGAAGCAACAAACAAGCAGAAATGAAAGAAACATCCCGCACAAACACACAAACTCTGGACAAACAAAGAGCAAATGCGAAGATGGAAATACTCCGTGGGCCGCGCAAATGAGTGCAACATGCAAAAGGTGAGCACTGTCTCAGTCTGAATCAATAGCCACTCGATCCGAAGGGATGGGCGGCGATTTTGCGCTGAACAGCCTTGAGTAACCTCAAGGACCCCAATCCCAGGTTGGGGCATTTTGCAAGCCCCTTTCAGAAGCGCAAACACTTGAGAAGCCATAATTCTTGCAAAGGGTGCCGATTCGATCAAAAACTCCACCCCAAACTCCCCAAACCCACCAAACTCCCCCAAACCCGGCCCCCCACCTGCCGGTACAACCGCAGCAGCGAGAGCAGGAACCACGCCACCGGCTCCGGCGACTCCTCCGCGGGCTCCGGCTCCGGCTCCGGCGGCTCCGGCGGCTGCGAGGGCTCCGGGCCGCGGGCCTGCGAGGGGGACCCGGAGGAGGGGGGGCCCGGGAAACGGCACTGGGGGGGGCACTGGGGGGGGAACTGGGGGGGGAACTGGGGGGGGAACTGGGGGAACTGGGGAAGGGAGGCGGTGAAAGACGCAAGTTCCAATGGTTGCGGTGAGAAATGTGTCGCGATGTGAAACATCGCTCAAGGGCTGCGCCTGCTAAGCAAGGTTGTGTCATAAGTCATGACCAGTGCAGCAGATGTAGCAGGTCCAACTACCGAATTAGTCACGCACACTGCAAGCAGCAAAACACGAAGCAACACGAGCCGCGGGCACAACCCTTCAAGCCAGCAGATGCAAAACTCGCAACCGCCAAACTGATTCCAGTACGGTTGCTCCCTGGATCGATCAGGAAGATCACTTTGACTCGATACATTGGAGAGCTTCCAGAGTGTTTCTTTCGTGACAATCGTTCTGGACAAATCCGGGGCAAGACGACGAGCCACTCATCTTGTTCACGTCCGTGAAACAAGTCCCAGTGGTTTCTATCAATACAACAACTGCCACAGGAACTGAGAACTGAGAGGTCTCATGGCAGGGTCAAGCTCCTTGGGCTCTCCCATGGATCATGGATTCATATGTCTCACACCCCATACTCCATGCTCCGACCCAAGCTATCGATGGCTCATGCGCCCAGTCCCGTCCTTGCTCCGCCGCACCAGCAGCAGCAGCCCAGCCAGGCGCGTGCAGAAATGTGCACCCCGCCCCTGCGGGTGTCTCAGAATAAGGGCAAGCCTGAAGACTCCTGCTTTCCCATTGGTTTGTCCTTGGTTTTTCAAAAAATATGTCAGTATTCCCGAAAACAACACGCACAAAAAATGGTTCTTAAAAAAAAAAGTATGGGGTTGATTAGGGACCCTTTTGGTGGACATAGTTGTATGTTATTTTTAGAGCGGAGCCCCATTTGCCAATCACGCCCGTTTGTCCAGGCCGCGAAGCTGCAGGGCACTGAGAGGCAAGGAATCAGCAGGAGGAGAACGAGGAGGGTGGGGTGGGCAATTGCTTGCAAACTGCAGGCCTTTACCTATATTCGCTTCTGTGTGCGCATGTATTATATATATATATATATATATCATCCTTTTACATATGAGCGAGTTTGAGTTGTATAACCCACACACACACACCACACCTGTTTGGGCATCAAACCAGGTGTTGCAGGAAGATATGGATGTGTAGGGATTTGCACTGACTCGGTCAGCACGTGCAGCATGCCAAGAACCTACAGTGTATGTAAGCTAACCAAACGGCACCACACAAGCAAGCGATAACTCTTTTATCCAAGCAATGTGTTGGTGCCAGGGACTCGTCTTCCCCTGTCAGATGTCAACGGCTGGGTGGGCCCCATGGGCCACCCAACACAAACTCTCAAAAACTGAAGAACGGGTGTGCAGACTGATAGCGCCATTTCCGAAGGACAGTCTGGCACACCCGCCATTTCCGAAGGATGCCAGTCTGTGCTGAGGGCCCTGGCCAGAGCCCTGTCCTTGGCCTCCCCCTTAGGTCGTCAGGGCCGGGGGCACCTAGGCTTCCAAAGGTAGGGCCACCACCTCGGTCTCCGACTGGGTGTCTACCGAGTCATCCGTTTCAGAGCCCGAGTCCGCCGAGGAGTCCGAGTCCTCCTGCAGTGTGGGGACCTCCGCGGGCTCCAGTACCCAGTCCGCCGGGAAGCCATACCTCTTGAAGCAACGTTCGCACTTGCCATAGGCCTCTGGCTCCGACATGTAATCCAGCACGGAGAGCTCCTGGATCTTAGAGGCCGCCGGTCGCCACCCGCACCCCACAGCCGTGCCTTCGTCATTCAGCAGGTGGATTCTGGCCTGGCCAGCCACGTGTTGACCTCCGCCGCATGTGTCTTCTTCCAGCTAAGCGGGGTGCCCAAGGCCAGGAGTGTGGCCAGCAGCGCCACCGCCAAGTTTACTGCCCCCTCGCTGCGAAGCAGCCACAGGAAGTCATCCACAAAGACGAAGTTCCAATCCACTTGAAGGAAAAGTGCGTAGAGGACCCTGAGAAGAAGGGCTGCCAGGCGTCCCCAGTAGGATTGGGCACTGGCCATGCCGTATGTGCCTACCTTGTTCACCCACTATTCTTCCTCCAGTGAGGCCACCAGTCCTTCCTGAGGACCTTCACTCTTCCGGTGGGCCTGGTGACGTCCGCCTTGAGCACCCACCTGGTGCCCGGCTCCAGCCATTGCCAGCCCTCAGATGGAGGTTCTTCTCGGGGCCAGGGGCACCCTCAGGGAGGACCCTCCTCAGCTGCCGCGTGTAGCCAATAAAGAGCTTGCACCGTCGGAGCCGTCGTCCTTTCCACCGTATGGTTCCTGATGCCCGCTAGGGGGCCTGGGCAAAGATCCTCCATATTGCAGCCACAGCTGGTGAGCGGGCCATCTACCATGCCCATGGGGACCTCCTCCAGGAATGTGCTACGGATGAGCTCACTGAAGTGATCCGCTGAGGGGTCCGGCAAGGCTAGGGGTGGGTCCGTGACCCCCAGTACGACCCCTTGTTCCAGATCCAGAGGAAACAGGCTGTGCAAGATGTCCAGGAAGAAGGGTTGGCCTTCCGCTGGTCGGCCTGCCCCTGGCGCCAGGATTTTCCTGATATCTTCCAGCAGGTCCTCCGGGAAGGGGTGTGACCCGTCCCCCAACGAGAGCGACTCCTGGAGTTTGTCCTTTCAGGGCGACGTGAGGACAAAGATCTTGGCCCCCATCGCTGCTGCTTTGGACAGTGGCTTCCCACCCCCGTAGGGGGCGCTGTTTGAAAGCCATCTGGAGGTACATAAATAACCTTGTCGGAGAGATTTGGGTCGTGCGTGATCGGCAGGGTGGTGGGCCGATCCGAGATCTCCATGCAATGGCGTGCCCATGGCTGAAGGGGAAGAGTTTCACCCCGTAGTTCGACCTTCCTGCCCGCCGGCTGTGTTGGTGTCCGGACCTCAGGATTGTCTGAGGCCGAGACCGCCAACGCTTGTTGGCCGGCCTTCAGCCTCAGGGACTGGCGCTTGTTGTCCCCCGGCGTGCTGGGAGATGGTTCCCTCTGCCGCCTTGAAGGGGTCTTTGGGTTCACTTAGAACCATGCCCCCCGGACTCAGCGCCTCCAGGACAGGTCCCGCTCTGCAGAGGATGGCCGCTGCGAGACCCTGCATCATCTGCTCTGGGTGCCGGCTGAGGTCACTGGAGTTGAGCTTTTCCCCCCTGGGGTGAGCTCCGTGGTTGCATCGCAGATCATGCTAATGGTGAAGGGGAAGGTCCGTTGACAATGTCGTGGACTTCACTACCACCTGGCCCAGGCGGTACTCGTCAAACTTGATGAGGGAGTGGTGGAGTGCGTTCGCCCATTGAATGTAGGCCCGTGTGACTCGATGAGCACCTCGCTGCGCTCGGGCTCTTGCTGCACTCCATTGGGTCCATCGGGTGCTCCAGGAAGGAGGAGCCCACCTGCGGGACCGTTCGTTGGCCTAGTCCTTGGTAGGCCAGCGAGGTCAGGTACATCTGTCGGAGCATGAGCACGCTGTCGTTGTCCGTGTCCTCCATTATCGGGGCTCCAGGTCCTCCAAGCCCCACAGGGTCTGCTCCGCCCTGCCCCTCACCGGCGGCGGGCCTCCCGGTTTGGGGAACCATCTGAGAATGCTCCACGTTCTGCAGTTGGGGCCGCCCCCCACAAAGGCGACCTTACCCGCCATGGCCATAAAGCACATTGTGGAGTATGGCTCGTTCCCAGCATGTCCTGTCCAAGATCGCCACCCTTTCGCCTAATGTCCACTGCCCAAATGTACTCCGAGAAGGCCGGGTTGTAGGCATGGAGGTAGGCATCCAGGGCCCCCGCGTCGTCCTTCCCAGCGTACAGCAGGATGAGGGTTGGCTTCGACGACTCCGGCACCGGTCGTGGCGTCCACCTTAGTCTTCGCCTCAGTCTTTCCGGGGTGTCTTGCATCCAGGGGAAGGCCCCCGAGGTTTCCGTGTGTCCTTTGTCCGATTCACTGGTCGTCTGGCCCTGGCCTTGCGGTTCTGCCCGCCCTTGGAACGCCCCTTGCCGGGCAGATCCCCACCTCTGGGTCTCTCTGGGGGTTCTTCCCACTGCCTCGCTGGGTGCGGGGGAAAAGGGTGCTTCCGCCCTTCTGGAGTGCCCTGGCTGGATCCACTCCCTTTCTTCGGTGGAGGGGCTTCCGGGGCCGGTGGCACCCTGGAGAAGTCCCCTCCCACCTGCGGCCGTCCTGGCCTCCCCAACTCTGTCTGCCTTCCGCTGTGGCTCTGGTGGGATTGGCTCTCCCCTGCTGTGCGCGCTGTGGCCTGTGATCCCTTCGGAGACCAGGCAGCCACGCGGCCTATGGCACCCTGAGTGGCCTCCTGTCACTTAGGGAGGTGTGGGGCTTTGCTGGGGGGGCATCACACACCCACCCATCCTTCCTGACCGGGCAGTTGTGGGATCGGCCGCATGATCCAGGGCATTTGTTGTGAAGGTGATGATCTCTGCAGTACGCCACCCCTTTGGGATTCTTGAAAGCCCAGTGGTCAGGCCATGGGGTCGAGGAGGTGTTGGGGGACTTCCCTTTGCCGCCCTTGCCCTTCGGCTTGGAATGGTAGGAGGACCAAGATCCTTTTCCCCCCTTTCTTGGGCTTCTCCCACTGAGTCTGCCACACCTTGGGTGCCTTGCTCTTGCTCTTCCCCTTTGTCGGCGCCCTGTTGAGGTGTCATAGACCTCCCGTTGCCAGAAGAGGAAGTCGCCCCTGATGTTCTTGAGGGCTTCGGAGAGAGTGGTGCCCTGGTGCACCATTTCGTGAATCTTGCGCCGTGGTGTCGCTCGGGGGAGGTTTCCTGCCGGCTATGTCCTCCCCATAGAACCAGGCATACCAGTCATCCAACTCCTCCTTGGTGACCCTCAGGTTGCCAAATTGCGCCAGTGCTGCCGTGCACATCAGGAGCGTCGTCCTGAAGGTTAGGTGCAATCGTTCCAGCTGGCGCCAAGATGTAGGGTGGCTCCTCACCTCTTCTTCATCCTCCCTGTCCCAGCCGTCCACCGTGATCTTCTTGTGGGTGGATGAAGGGCGTTCCCCTTCTTCCGGGAGCGCGCTCACGATGTGTTTTGCCGGGATGTAGCCCAATTCGCCCTTGGCAATCATGCGCCATTGCTTCTTGAGGTAGCCATCACTACCCTGGAATTCCAACCTCGGCTTCGGGGCCCCATGCGTGGCCACGTAAGCATCCTCCAGCTGGCGCCTGTCACACAGGACTTCTAAGGGAGCCTTTGTCGGGCCCGCATGTTGCCCCCCCTGACCAAGTTTGCTGCCACCCGTACTGCCTGAAAAAGGCGCATTGCCGTGAAGGCCGAGGTCTGGGCGTTGAATCCATTCTCTCCATCCTGGAATCCCAGGTCCCGGGGACCATTGTCCCTGGCCGCCGCCGGGGTGTTCCAGCGATCCGCCAGGTCTTCCACCGTGACGTAACCCGATGCGCCCAGTGCCGCTTGGATGACCCAGGGGATTTCCTTGCCCACCAGGATGGCCGCCAGCGGCTTCTGCAACTTTGCCACGTCTTCCTTGATCGCGGCTGGGACCTCCTCCGGTGGTTTAGCGGGCGCCGCCGCCATGACCTCTTACCTTGGTGTGGGTGGGTGGGTTTTCAATCAGCTTGGGTTCCAGGAACCCAGAACAATGCTTGAGCCAAAATGGCACATGCCATTGTGGTCAAGCATTCCACACACAGTTCATGTT